AATCAAGACAAATGAATTGGGCCAACTTATTAATTCCGGACCCTATTTTTTCGGCTTTCCCAGGTCTCTCACCCAATAGGCTGATTGTCATTGTCCTATAATATTGGGCTGAGATCCTTTTGGAGGCTGATGGGTTTTGACTTTTCCCGGGGTTGGTTGATGTGAGACTACCATGGAATCTGGCTCCATTCATTACAGACACAAAGAAATAAATAAACAACCTACGACGAAAAAAAGTGAAACATGTGATGAGCATGTAATGGTTGCCCTTTTGTTCGGTGATCAACAGCACACATGATTTCTCTGGGCCAAGGCTATATTATTAAGTTTAAGTTTCAATGGTGTTTGGATTAATTATTTTAATATATATGATAATTAATATATATTATTTATAATTTAAAATATATAATTTATTTGATTAAAAATGATAATTGATAATTACTTTTTAAAATTTTTAAACAAATATTGAATTATTTAGTTCTTCATGAATTTTTTAAGTTTAATATAAATTATTCGTATTTAATTAAAAAATATATAAAATCAACATGATAGACAAAAATTTATTGAAGATACTATATGTAAAAATTTTAATCAAATGGATTTGTTATTAAGGCAGTCCCACCTCATAAATTTCAACTAAACTTTTGTAAACCATTTCATATTTGATATAAAGTTAATTCATACTTCCTTATTCAACTATTTGTTATTAGGTAAAATCTCTTTTATATTCCTTGTATATATACCATTCATAAAAATTTATTTTTTTAATACCATAAAATATCAAGTTCTTATTACAACTCATGTTCACTTCTGAACACAACATACCTAGCAACCATATCTTCAGAACTAGTGTACTAAACTATTCTTCTAGTCATACATAATATTACCCTCAATAAAACCAGAAATTGCCTCTACCTTTGACTCATTGAATCCTTTCAATTCTTCCATTGCCGAACTGCTAAGCTCTTCGACTAATTTCACCAACTCTTTATCGTTTCCCTTCAGTTTATTTGACATTCCTAGTATTTTCCCTACACATAAGCCATACCTTCTCATCTTTTCTATCTCTTCTTCACTTCCTCCTCCTATGATTGCTCCGCACGTGGCTGCACACGCGTGAAGAGAACCCTCGTATTTCTCACACATGCGTCCGATCTCTTTCACGTGGCATGAGCTATTACCGTCTGATTGAATGGATTCTATCTCATGGTATTGGCCATGTATCATTCCTTGAGAACCAGTTGCACGTGTGATCTCAATAATCACACGTAAGATCCGGTCCGATATGTTTTGGGTCGGATGATCCGATCTTGCCAACAACTCTAGCCCAAAAGGTAGCAAACCATCTCCAGTGAGGAGCTCTATGTTTGGGCTGTATTTGTGATGGATCATGGACTTGGGTCTGCAGCTTTCTTTCAGTGGGAGGTTTTCGTGGGTGTAGGAAGCGGCATACATGAGGTGGAGTGCGGATGCTACCGGCAAAGCTTGGTCCCTGTGGCC